GCCTTCCTGCCCCCCCTTCATGAAAAAATGATGTCAGCTCTTCTACATAAAAAAAAAAAAAAAAAAAAAAAACACACACCCTGAGATCAGAACTGGCCTCCACATTCACAAAATGATCACTGCCTAACTCAGTGGTTTCCAAAAATGGGAGCGGGGGCCGCCTGGAGGGCATGGCGCTATCACGTGGGAAATTGAATTTTTCCTTTCATTTGACCACCAGGGGGAGTTTAATGAGAAGAGCAGGATGACTGTTTACCAGTGACGATCAAACACCACTGGTCCAAAAAAATAAAAACAAGTGTTTCATGAACGCACGACGTTTTCTTCACCGCTGGTCCAAAAAAAATAAGTTTGACATTTGTTCAATGAAACACAAACTGAAAATAAAGTTTTTCATGAACGCACGACGTTTTCTTCACTGTTAGTTTTTTTTTTTAAATGTTCTATCAACAAAAAGGGGGCGCTGCTCTGACTGCAGGTCTTAGAAGCCTCACACAGTGAAGTGAAGGAGAATTATTAGGTTCATAAAACCATTGGTTTGTGATATAAACTCCAAGGTAAAATAAAGTATTTTCTTTAAAGATTTATATTTCCCAACAGTTTTCCAGACTGACTCTGTCTCTCTTACTCCTCAGTAGAAACTGAACTGTTTTCCGTGGCTTCCATAAAGATTTCAGCTCCACTTCTTTCAGACTTTTTGAGTTTTTGATACTAATTATTTATTCAGGTCGGCCTCAGCGCCACCTTGTCCAGGACTGACCGTGTGTCATCCAGCCCTGAGCCTCATCACCCAGGCTGCTTTTATAACCTCAGAGTGCAGAGTGCACTACTTTGCTTGAGTCAGGAGTTTGTGCTATTAAAATGCTGTTTTTATCTCAGGCATCACGACTGACAGCCTGAGGTTCCTTCAGTCTGAACAGGAAACAAAGACTTCAACCAGTCTTAATGACTGACTGTTAATTGAGATGTTTTTATTAATTTCTTGTTCCCTCACTGTATGATTCTGAAAAAAAAAAACGAAAAAAAAACCTGACTGTATCGGTGATATTATTCTTGTACGAGTGAATTTGGATCTGGATTTGACTTCATCTCCCCCTTCTGGCCGACTGATGTTATCGACCCGATATTAGCAGTTTTGGGGACAAACGGCTGCTTATATCGGTATCGGAAATTTAGTGTTTGGACAATATCGGTGTATCGACAAAAAAGTTCATATCGGACGACCCCTAGAATGAAGTAAATCAGAAAAACTGAAGTACATTTCTTAACCCATGGACCGGCACCGGTCCCCGAACCAGGGGTTGTGTTCCCCCTGATCTAGACGACGATTCAAAGATGAAGTGCAACGACACGGTTGGACGACAGCACGACCGCGGACGCCCAGTGTTTCAGAGACGGAACAGGGTCCAGATGTGTATCTCTACTCTTTAAATAAACCAAGACTTTCTGCAGCTTGATGGACCCCCCCCCACCTCACCCCCCGACCCCCCCGCTGTGCACTGCTGGTGCACTCACAGTGGCAAAATCACAGTCTCTGTGGTGGATGATGGGTAAACTAGTCTTGGCCAGAGCGCTAGCAGTTTCACGGCTCCGAGAACTGTTCCCCATCAGCAGTCACAGGAGGACACCGCTGGACCCCTCCTGGCTGAGTGAGGAAATGCATGCGCACGTTTGGCTGTGGATCAGTTGTTGGAAGTGGTTAAGTAGAAGGAAACTGGAGCGTCGGGGTTTTTAAAGACATTTCTTCAGCTCTCACTGACTGTTTTTTTTTTTTTTTTTTCCCATTCTGACGACGTGTTACCAGAGAAACACGGACCAAAAAAAAAAAAGTTCCATGAACACTGGATGTTTTCTCCACACTTAGTTTATTTCATTATTTGAATGAAAAGTTCATGTAACCTTTCAACAGATCAACAGAGTTCTGATATTCTCGGGTTCAGTTTGGGCTCGGCCGTCACACTCCTGTGGCCTCACTGCACAGATGACTTTCTAAAAGCTTCAGTCCAAGAAGAAAAAAAAGAAAAAAATCGTTTTAAAACTGTAATTGAACACAGACTCCAACAGCTGTGAATCAATGTGTGGTTCGTGGTCTTTTTCAGGTTCAGGCCAATCATATTCCTCTTCATTTATACTGGAAACATCTAGTATTTAACCTCAGTGTGAATACATTTTATTTACTGTATTTTTTTCGGAGTATAAGTCGCATTTTTTTTCATCCTTTGTCTGGGTTTGCGACATATAATAAAATATATAATTTCAAATATTTGTTATTGTTACACTGACAGCCGCTAGGGGGCACTGTTGTGACTTATAATCCAGAGCAATTGATAGATTTTTTTTTTTTTCTTCTATAATCCAGAGCAATTGATATGTTTTTTTTGGCTGGTCTGAATTTGGTTTGAAAAATACGGTATTATACTCACATATTTGAACGATTTTATTTTTTTATTCTCTATTTTTTATATATTTCATTTCCTGTGTGAGTCAGTGTAATTCGAAGGAAGTGACTCAGGGCTGCGCTCCTCTGTTGGTTCTACCTGCGTAATGATCATGTGACAAATTAAACCGTCGAACGTCGAATCAGAGCAGATAATTGGAACAACAGTCAAACACGGAGACTCCGTCCTGTTTTGGCTCCGTCTCACACAGACCTGGGACAATGGCAGCAAATGGAACAAATGTTCAAAGGTCAGAGGAGCGCCACCAGAAAGTGTGTAATCCAATTCCCATTCAAACACACATTACATCTCATTTACTTCTGAGCAGATAATTCTGCCTCGCAAGAACAGAAAGGGAGGAGCGGCACAAAAAATCAGATAAGTGATGGTTACACACTAGTCGATTAATCTGTCTCATCTCCATCCATCAGAATGACTATAATCCCAGCAGTTACGCCTTTCCCACTGCTCTGAAAAAGGACCAGGGCCAGCGTTTATGGCTCTTATGGATCTGCTCTCACACAGAGCTGCTCCGTTCACCCACCGCCGCTGTCAAAGTCCTCCGAGCTCCATCGGGTCATCCATGTAGGATAATGATAGGTTTATGTACTGGACAAGGACCAATAAGGAAAGTTACTGTTCGGTACTAATGCATTTACGCTGTCATAAATGGTGGACGGCACCGGTGGTACCGATTACAACAGGGTTTTTAGAGGAACGGGCAGCGACTCTGTCGGTCATGTACTGGAACTGTAATGTTTGGACTGGGTCGTACGTCGGTGTTAGTGGGATCCTGAAGTCGTATTTTCCTGGACTATAAGTCGCATCAGCCAAAAAAAAAAGCATCATGAAGAAGATAAAAAACAAACATAAATCACTCTGGAGCATAATTTGCTCTGGCCAGCTAGAGTGCCCTCTAGTGGCCGTGAGTGTGAAATGAATAAACGTAAATTTTCAGTGGTAGAGGAGTAGCAGATACTGGTACACAAGCCTAGAGTGCCCTCTAGCGGCTGTCAGTGTGAATATAACCAACATTTAAAATTATATATTTAAATATTTAAGTCTCACCTGAGTATAAGTCACAAACCAATATCAAGAATCAATATCAATCAGAATGAAAAGAATCGTGATTGTGATTTTTGTCATAATGGCGCAGACGTAAGAAGACGTGTTGACAAAGAAGACAGAAGGACGAGTTTCGGTCTTTTTGCTTTTGTCTTATTCATTCAATCATTTTCACAACGAATTCAAAGCATCTGACGACAGAGTCGGTGGACGGGGAGAGTAGAGAGTACGGCTGGAGGTAAAAACAATCTGATCTAAGGCCTGCAGCGATAAACAAACTTTATCAATAAAACAGCTCTGCTCCTTCATTCAGGCTCGGACTTATAAAATATAAAATTATATCTCAAGGATAAAAAAAACAAGCAGGATGACGTTGGTTCGGTCAAACTTTACAAATAATAATTTTTTTTTTTTTTTCAAATTTTTTTTTTTTACCAAAGGAATACTCACAGAATCTGTCAGAGTTGTCACACAAAGACAAGGCAAAAGTGCTGCAACCAACCAATCCTAGCAGATATATTTATATATATTCACATATATATTTGATTATTTTTGGAGACTAAAACAAGGTGTGATTACTTTGTACTCCAAGAACAATCAACTGATTTCTGACAGGAATAAAGCGCGGCGCCTAATTTATTCCGGGTGGCAGATTGGTATCGGAAGGGATGAGTGAAAAGAATGCTGTGCTGTGCTGTCCTTGAAAGTTTTACACAATGTTACATTTGCATGTGCATCTGAGATGTGTTTACACATTAATATTAATACCATGGACAGCAGGTCATCGCCCAGAGATTCCGAACATGTGGCAGAAACAGAACGAGCACCGAGACGTAGACGTAGATTTTAGCTGAAAGTCAGGGTCAAAAGTTTTACCGCCTGTTTTTATGTATGAACGTCAGAAGGAAAACAGACAACACTGACCGATGTGCAGCTAGCCGTCCAAAAGGTCGTTATTATACGCAGTATAATATACACAGATCGACAAGTTTTTTTCAGGTACCAGTAGGAGTATTTTACTGATACTGAGAGTTTTGAAAAATGTTTGAATAATTCCTTCAGTCAGTGAATGTTCCCAGAACAAGGTACCAATGAGGTACCAGTGAGGTACCAGTGAAGTACCAGTGAGGTACCAGTGAGGTACCGGTGAGGTACCAGTGAGGTACCAGTGAGGTACGAGTGAGGTACGAGTAAGATACCAGTGAGGTGCCAGTGAGGTACCGGTGAGGTACCGGGGAGGTACCGGTGAGGTACCAGTGAGGTACCAGTGAAGTACCAGTGAGGTACCAGTGAGGTACCGGTGAGGTACCAGTGAGGTACCGGTGAGGTACCGGTGAGGTACCAGTGAGG